GACTGAATAAAATAACACAAATATCTTTGTCTTCCAGGAAGAATATAGTGATTATAATTTAATCTTAACCTTTCTCTTAACTATTTTCATAGAAATCACTTCTCTACATTCTCTCCCTGAATGATTTCAAGTTCCATTATTTTAATTATTACCTTAATGCAGGTAATTCCCAAATTATATTTTCATCCCACATTTGTTTTTAAGCTCTAGATTTGCATATCCAGTTGGCCCCTGGAAATGCATGATTAGAAATTCAGCATATCCAAAGCTAAAAATCATCTTTCTTCCTCCAACTTGTTTTTCATACCTGTGGTGTTTATTTTCATGAGTGCCCTCCTCCTGTTGCTCACCCTTCATGTCCAATCTTTAATTAAGCCTTGTATGTTTACTCCTAAACTTCTCTTGTAATATATATTTATTCTGAATAACTGTTGCTCAGGTCAGGCTCTTCCCGCTTCACACTGTTTCCAGTCATCTTCCTGAAATACTAATCTGATCATGTTAACCCTCTGCTTATAAACTCTGAGTAGCTTTTTCAAACATCATCTTCCTGAAACTCTGCAGTGTTTTCTCCTACTTGCCCCTACTACTGAATTGAGCCACTATTACTGATATAAATGTTGCGGGTTTTCTTGATGAGTAGAGTAGAAAGTAGATCAAAAGCTACCTCTAGTGTCAAATCCTGTCATCTTTGCCTTATGTTCAGATCTTTTACCTGCAGTATGTTCAGCCCTTTTAGCACCTAGCCCTACTCTGTCCTGTAGTGTGCAGAGACCACATACCGTGCGCATGACTTGCTCTTCGCTTGTTCCATGCATTTCTAAAAACCATAGTGCATCTGCTCAGTGACATTCCAGTTGAATTGAACAACTCCTATGCAGTCTTCAGAATCTTGCTCAAATGTATATTCTTATGAGACCTATATGGACCATCTTAATCACACGATCTCTTTATGTTCCCAAGGATATTTTAGTACTTCCCACCCACTGCTATTATGCCCTTATGTAATCATTGTTGTTTATGAACTAGCATTCTATACTAATGTGATTTTTTTCTATTCTTTTGGCATTGGCATATGTACTTTTTAGCATATATAATGTGAAGAGTAGCCAGAGGAATTAAGGATAGTTAAAAAAAAAAATGTGAGAATTTGGGCGGCAGGGAAAACTCATAATATTTAAGGGTTACCAGTTAAAAGAGATTCTCTTTGATACTTGGAACCTCAGGAGGCAGGAGTTTTTTTATATTATTTACTTATTTTTTAAATTTGTTAATTTTTTAATTGAAGGATAATTGCTTTACAGAATTTTGTTGTTTTCTGTCAGACATCAACTTGATAGCATGTACAATTTAGGAAAAGATAAATGTTTTATACTGAAGATAATGCACAGTAAGTTTTTAATACATGCTGGTTCTTTTTTGATTTTCTTAACTTTTAAAATCAAAGTAAAATTTATGTATAATAAAGTATGTAGCATATAATTCAGTGAATTTTCACATTTGTACATGCCTTTATAAAAATCAGAAAGCTGGGGAACATTTTCAGTCTTCCCAAAAGCTCCCTCATGCTCCTCCCATTATTTCCCCGCAGAGTTAACTGTGATTCTGAGCTTTATAACTGGAGATTAGTTTTGCCTGGAAATTCACAGTCTGTATCCTTTGTGTCTGCCCTTTTTCACTCAGTCATATGTCTGAGAGGATTATATATGTTGTTGAAGGTAGCATTAGTTTGTTCTTTTTGTTTGTTCTTTTTGCATTGATCTATAGGATTCTGTTACATGAATAGAATCTCCCCATATACACATACATCCCACCCCATTTATTTAACAATACTATAACTTGAGTAGATACTGTCAAATGGTTTTCTAAAGGGGTTATACGAATTTTACACTTTTACCAGCAGTTTGGTATTTCTCCATATTACAACACAATAGATTTAATATTTTTCATTTAAGAACCAAGGCTTAGATTTTCTTTTTATGTAAGCATTGCCTATTATACGCATTTTGAAAATAAATAAAAATTTAAAGAATAAAAATTATTCATAGTCTCACAACCAGTGATAAGGACTATTTTATTATATATTCTTCTAATCCTTTGTGTACTGTTTAAAGTAAAATTATAATCAGGCAAACTATTTTACATCTTTTTAAAGAAACTTTTATGTTGTGAGCATTTCTCATACCTCTTACTATAATGTCTTATTTGAAATTTTCTCCATTTAAAAAAAAATCATATTTGTATTAAATGCATTTATCAGGTAGGGTTTTATATTTTTATAGCAGTGATAAACATCAGAAGACTGTTTTGGTGCCTATAGGAATTGAGAGGTTGAAAGAGAGAATAGAATTTAGTATCTTTTCCCAAGGAAAATTAATGATTAAACTTATAAATAGGTCTAATATTATTTAAGTCACTGTGAGTCGTTAGCTATCTCAAATAACATTTTATAAACTACTTCCTAATGCAGTAAAATTTGGATGTTTCTTCTCTTGTTATCAGACAGCTGCAGTCCTCACATTTCTCCTACCCTTTAACCACTGCTCCTTGAAAAACACAGTTCTTTTCCCAAGCAGTGTATGCTCAAAGTTTATGTGAATGTTGCTTATATACTCATTTACCATTTGCTATATGTACTATTTGGGCACTTTCGGATCTTGCCAACTTGTTCCAAACGGAAGAATCATGAATATATAAGAATGTAAATATGTCAGGGAATTTTAAAGATATATAACCCACCGACTTCTTTCCTCCACCTGAAAGACAAAGCCCTAAAAGATTAAATTACTTGTTCCCAGCTACAGTATTTGTGGCAGAGCTAGAACTGGAGCCCACATCCAACACCTGTCAGAATTTTCCCGCTTCAGGTGTGAAGTACTTTGTACTTAGTGCTTTTCTTGACACTAACTTTGTCTTTTTCCCCCAAGGAAGAAGTACTAAAAGTATTTTTCTTTATGTCTGTGATAGGTAAAGGAAAATTGTTTTACTTACACAGCAAGCACTTATTAAGTGTCTGTGGTATGTTGTGGTTAGTTGCTCAGTGGTGTCTGACTCCGTGTAACCCCATGCACTGTAGCCCACCAGGCTGCTCTGTCCATGGGGATTCTCCAGGACCAGAATACTGGAGTGGATTACCATGCCCTCCTCCTGGGGATCTTCCCAACCCAGGAATTGAACCTAGGTCTCCTGGATTGCAGGTGGATTCTTTACTAGCTAAGCTACCAGGGAAGCCCTGTTTAGTGCCTAGAACGTATGATATCCTGTTTCAGAAACTGCAAATAGATGAGAAATAGTTGATAAAATAGGAACATCTGTCAACATGGTGTTAAGCGTGGAAGGAGCTTATTTTTGGGAATCTGAACATCTGTGATAGAATTTCAGCTCTATCATTTCCCATCTCTGTGGCTTATTCAGCCTACTTAATTAATCTCTTTGAATCTTAGCTTTCTTGTTCATTTATTCATTTATGGAGCCCTTACCACATGCAAAGAATAATATAAAGTGCTGGGGATACAGCATTATGAAGGACTTCAAAAGAAACTTGTTTCTGTGGTTTGTATATATTACTATTTACAATTTGTTGTTGTTTAGTCACTGAGTCATGTCTGACTCTTTTGTGACCCCATGGACTGTAGCCCACCAGGCCCCTCTGTCCGTGGAATTCTCCAGGCAAGAATACTGGAGTGGGTTGCCTTTCTTTCTCTAGGGGCTCTTCCCGACCCAGGGATTGAATCCGTGTCTGCTACATTGACAGGCAGATTCTTTACCGCTGAGCCACCAGGGAAGGTTAAAATGGAGGACTTTATGTATTTATTGATTCATTTTAAATGAGTTAAAGCAGTGCTTTACCTCTGTTAAGTAAATGACATTTTTAAAGTAACTAATTCGTTTACTCCTGAAAACTTCAATTTATCATTAGTAATAAATATTGTTAGTTGTTTTGACAGACTTACTTTGCTCATTTTCAAGAAAGTTTCTGCCACAGCCCAAGCTAGACTAACTATAATTTGTCATTTAAGTAAAAATCATATTCCATTGTAGCCTGTATGGGAAAAAAATCTAAAAATGAGTGGCTGTATGTAGAACAGTGGCTGCATGTAAAGCAGTGGCTGTATGTGGAACAGCGGCCGTGTGAATAACTTTGCTGTACACCTGAAATGAATACAACCTTGTAAATATACTCCAATAAAATTATTTTAGAAAATGATATTCCATGGAAAAAGTGACTAGATCAGCTTGCAAATTACACAGGTATTTTTCTTCAGGGCAGTCATTATACTTGGAAGAAATCTTGATGCATGCTTCGTGTCTTGTTTCACAAAATATTTAAAAGATGTATATTTGAGTCAAAATTTAATATGATTTATAGTTTTTACTGCATTGTCAAGGAGATTCATAAGTAAAAATGGCTTGGGGGAAAAAATAAACCTGTGAATGTATAGTTGTGAATACAATGACAATAGAGTGCTATATAGAGTGCTATATTTTCTTTTTTCTTCCACTACCTTGGTTTGTGCTTCGACACAAGCATGTTTACAACCAGCGCTTTTTCACCATCAAGTGCACGTGTCAACAGAGTATAAAGGGGAAATGCCATCTTAATATTATTATGAAAATAGTTTTGATCTTGTCAGCTCTCTGAAAGGATCCCTCTTCCCTCATCAGATGACGTTTTGGGAACCACTGCTGTAGAGTATATTATTGGTCCTTAATTATAACGCTTTGACTGTTTCCGTGTTGGCATGTACTTGTTTTTGTCATGGGATTGGCATAAGGAGTCTGGTCCCATACAGTATTGTTATGTGTGTCTGAGCAAGTACTGTTGAAATTTAGCTAGTGCCATTTACCTGCTTGACAGCAATACAGTCAAGATAGCAGCAGACTGCCTTTTAGAACGTATTTGTTATAAAAGCTCCAGAATAGGAATTTTATTCTGTTGATGTGTTATTGGGAGTATTGATTCAAGGTTTTTCTGATCCTGCTTTCTGTTTTGTTTTTAGGCTTGCATTGATGACAATGTTGATATGGTGAAGTTTCTGGTAGAAAATGGAGCAAATATTAACCAACCTGATAATGAAGGCTGGATACCTCTGCATGCAGCTGCTTCCTGTGGATATCTTGATATTGCAGAGTAAGCTAGTGCTGTGTTTATTTTTATCCAAATACTATTGTAGAGACTTGAGATTTTATAGAAATTATTATAGATAAATGAGAAAACTGTTATATTACTTTAATTGATAAAAATTATTCTTCCTAGGAAAGAGAATAAGTGGATTGTGGGAATCCAGATATTGTCTCTCGGTGTGAGGTCATCTTCTTGTCATCTTCTTGTCTCCCTCCTGTCTTTGACTTTAATACTTTGAACTAATATGAGTAATTCTCTTGAGTACATGTAGAGTGTTGTCAGATGACTTGGTTAATATTAGGTTGGTGCAAAAGTAATTGCAGGTTTGCATTATTGAATTTTGCTCTTTAATATTGGAATACATTTCTAAATAAATGTGGTCATGTTATACATTTTAATGCTTATTTCTTGCTATTTGTTTTTTTGCTAGTGACTTATTACTTGCTGTTTATTTTATATTTATTTTAGACTAGGGAAATTATGTTAGACAAAAAGCAAATTTGAGCAATTTCTCTTACTCAAGTTCCAAATACGTCGTAGAACAGCAGAGACAACTCACAGCATCAGCAGCACATTTGGCCCAGGAATTGCTAACCAATGTACAATGCAGCAGTGGCTCAAGAACTTTTCAAAGGAGATGATAGCCTTGAAGACAGAGCTCAGTGGCTAGTTGTTGGAAGTTGACGACAGCCAATTTGAGAGCAGTCACCAAAGCTGATCCTCTTACAACTACACAAAAAGTTGCCGAAGAACTCAGCATCAACCATTCTACAGTAATTTGGCATTTGAAGCAAATTCAGTTCAGCTCAGTCGTGTCTGACTGTTTGTGACCCTACGGACTGTAGCACGCCAGGCTTCTCTGTCCATCACCAACTCCTGGAGCTTGCTCAAACTCATGTCCGTCGAGTCAATGATGCCATCCAACCATGTCATCCTCTGCCATCTCCTTCTCCTCCTGCCTTCAATTTTCCCCAGCATCAGGGTCTTTTCCAATGAGTCAGTTCTTCACATCAGGTGGCCAAAGTATTAGAACTTCAGCTGAAAGCAAATTGGAAAGGCAAAAAAGCTCAGTAAGTGGGTACCTCATGAGCTGACTGCATATCAAAAAAATCTTCGTAATCCCCTACCATTGCAACAAAAAAGAATAAAATACTTAGGAATAAACCTACCTAAGGAGACAAAAGAGCTGTGTACAGAAAACTTTAAGACACTGGTGAAAGAAATCAAAGACAGTATAAACAGATAGAGAGATATTCCATGCTCCTGTGTTGGAAGAATCAATATTGTGAAAATCATTATACTATCAAATTCTATCTGCAGATTCATTGTTATCCCTATCAAATTACCAATGGCATTTTTCACAGAACTAGAACAAAAAAATCTCACAATTTGTATGGAAACACGGAAGATCCCAAATAGCCAAAGCAATCTTGAGAAAGAAGAATGGAGCTGGAGGAATCAACCTTTCTGATTCTAGACTGTACTACACAGCTACAGTCATCAAGACACTATGGTGCTGGCACAAAAACAGAAATACAGACCAGTGGAACAAGCTAGAAAGCCCAGAGATAAACCCACACCACTATGGGTACCTTATCTTTTGGCAAAAGAGGCGAGAATATACAATGGGGCAAAGATAAACTCTTCAGTAAGTGGTACTGGGAAAACTGGACAGCTACATGTAAAAGAATGCCATACACAAAGATAAACTCAAGATGGAACAAAGACCTAAATGTAAGACCAGAAACTGTAAAACTCTTAGAGGAAAACTTAGAACACTCTATGACATAAATCACAGCAAGATCTATGACCCACTTCAAGAGTAATGGAAATAAAAACAAAAATAAATAAGTATAACCTAATTAAATCTGAAAGCTTTTGTACAACAAAGGAAACTACAAAGAAGGTGAAAAGACAACCCCCAAGAATGGCAGAAAATAATGGCAAATGAAAAAAACTGACAAAGGATTAATTTCCAAAATATACAAGCAGCTCATACAATTCAATACCAGAAAAAACAAACAATCAGTCAAAAAGTGGACAAAAGATTTAAACAGACATTTCTCCAAAGAAGTGATGCAGATGGCTAATAAACATGTGAAAAGTTGCTCGACATTGCTTATTATTCAGTTCAGTTGCTCAGTCGTGTCCAACTCTTTGCGACCCCATGAATCGCAGCACGCCAGGCCTCCCTGTCCATCACAAACTCCCACAGTTCACTCAAACTCATGTCCATCGAGTTGGTCATCCAGCCATCTCATCCTCTGTCGTCCCCTTCTCCTGCCCCCAACCCCTCCCAGCATCAGGGTCTTTTCCAGTGAGTCAACTCTTCTCATTAGGTGGCCAAAGTACTGGAGTTTCAGCTTCAGTATCAGTCCTTCCAATGAACACCCAGGACTGATCTCCTTTAGGATGGACTGGTTGGATCTCCTTGCAGTCCAAGGTACTCTCAAGAGTCTTCTCCAGCACCACAGTTCAAAAGCATCAAGTTTTCAGCACTCAGCTTTCCTCACAGTCCCAACTCTCACATCCATACATGACCACTGGAAAAACCATAGCCTTGACTAGACGAACCTTTGTTGGCATCGCTCACTATTAGAGAAATGCAAATCAAAACTACAATGACATACCACCTCATATCAGTCAGAATGGCCATCATCAAAAAAATCTACAAACTGTAAATGCTGGAGAGGGTATGGAGAAAAGGGAATACTCTTGTACTGTTGGTGGGAATGTAAATTGATACAGCCACTGTGGAGATCAGTATGGAGATTCCTTAAATAAAAGGAATAAAATTACCATATGTCATAACAATCCCAGTGTTGTTGTTCAGTCGCTCAGTCATGTCTGAATCTCTGGAACTCCATGGACTGCAGCACGCCAGGCTTCCCTGTCCCTCAATCATCTCCTGGAGTTTGCTCAAGGTCATGTTCATTGAATTGGTGCTGCCATCCAACCATCTCATCCTCCGTCACCCTCTTCTCCTTCTGCCTTCAGTCTTTCCTGGCATCAGGGTCTTTCCCAGTAAGTTGGCTCTTTGCATCAGCTCAACAAAGTATTGGGGCTTCAGCTTCCACTTCAGTCCTTCCAGTGAATATTCAGGGTTGATTTCCTTTAGGAATGACTGGTTTGATCTCCTTGCTGTACAAGGGACCCTCAAGAGTCTGTGGATACATATATACAATGGAATATTATGCAGCCACAAAAAGGAACACATCTGAGTCCATGCTGATGAGGTGGATGAAGCTAGAGCCTATTACGCAGGGTGAGGTAAGTCAGAAAGAGAAAAGCAAATATTGTTTATTAACCCATCTATCTGGAATCTAGAAAGATGGTATTAATAAACTTATTTGCCGGGCAGCAGTGGAGGTGAAGACATAGAGAACAGACTTATGGACATGGGGTAGGGAGGAGGTAAAAAAGAGCGGGATGAATGGAGAGACTAGTATGGAAACACTGACACATGTAAAATAGGTAGCCAGTGGGGAATCTGCTGTATGACTCAGGAAACTCCAGCCAGGACTCTGTGCTGCCTGTGGGCTGGGATGGGCTAGGAGGTGAGAGTGAGCTTCAAGAGGGAGGAAACATTTGTGTACCTATGGCTGATTCAGGTTGATGTATGGCAGAAACCAATACAGTGTTGTAATTACCCTTCAGTTAAAAATAAATAATGTTTTTAAAAGTCGTTATTTTGAAGTGTTGTCTTCTCTCACTCAATAACAATGAACCATTTCTCAATCAGATTGTGCTGTATGATGAAAAGTGGATTTTATACAACAACCAGCTCAGTGGTTGTACTGAGAAGAAGCTACAAAGCATTTCCCAAAGTCAAACTTGCACCCAAAAAAGGTCACGGTCACTGTTCGGTGGTCTGCTGCCCCTCTGATCCACTACAGCTTTCTGAATCCTGGCAAAACCATTACATCTGAGAAATATGCTCAGCAAATTGATGAGATGCACTGAAAACTGCAGTGCCTGCAGCCAGCACTAATCAATAAAATGGGCACAATTCTTCTCCAGGACAACACCCGACCACACTTTTCACACCAGTGCTTCAGAAGTTGAAGGAATTGGGCTATGAAGTTTGCCTCATCTGCCATATTCACCTGACCTCTTGCCACTTCTTCAAGCATCTTCACAACTTTTTGCAGGGAAAATGCTTCCACAACCAGCAGGAAGCAAAAAGTGCTTTCCAAGAGTTTGTCGAATTGCAAAGCATGCAATTTTATGCTAAAGGAATAAATTTGTTTCTCATTGGCAAAAAATATGTTGATTGTAGTGGTTCCTATTTTGATTAATAAAGATGTGTTTGAGTCTAGGTATAATGATTTAAAATTCAAAGTCCAAAACCACAATTATTTTTCACTAATCTTAATATTTAACAATCTAGTCTATTCCTGTGTAATCATTAATTGTTAGGGGAAATTAACAATAGTTCTGAATTATGTTGCTTTGCTAAAAAGAGAATATGATACATAGTTCTCCAGTTATTCAGTGTATTTATGCTTATTTTTTATTATTTTCTAAAAATATCAAAAATAGTCACTGTATTCTTCTGTTCAGTTCAGTCGCTCAGTTATGTCCAACTCTTTGCAACCTCTTAGATTGCAGCACACCAGGCCTCCTTGTCCATCACCAACTCCTGGAACTTGCTCAAACTCATGTCCTTCAAGTTGGTGATGCCATCCAACCATGTCATCCTCTGTCGTCCCCTTTTCCTGCCTTTAATCTTTCCCAGCATCAGACTCATTTCCAGTGAGTCATTTCTTCACATCAGATGGCCAGAGTATTAGAGTTTCAGCTTCAGCATCATTCCTTCCAGTGAATATCCTAAAAGTTGATTTCCTTTAGGATTGACTAGTTTGATCTCCTTGCAATCCAAGGGACTCTCAAGAGTCTTCTCCAACACCACGGTTCAAAAGCATCAATTCTTTGGCATTCAGCTTTCTTCATAGTCCTACTCTCACATCCATACGTGACTCCTAGAAAAACCATAGCTTTGACTA